GAACCAGAAAAGCACAGAACATATGGGGAAAAAAAGATAGGTTTTATGACATAATAATTAAATATGAGCACACTTTCTGACCCACCCATCTGGTCTAGAGAACTCCTCACTGTTCCTTAGGGCCCTTGGACAAAACTACCATCATCACCATGTTGTTTGTGGAAGCAGGAAGTTGGAACCAACTTTAATGCCCAGTTTTAGAAGAACAGGTGAGCAAAATGTGAGAGACACACACTGTGGAAAATGATGTGTCAGATAGAAGCACTGAACAAGTTGTACATCCAAAGCAGCAGAATAGAATCATACAGTATTTCAGGAACCAAAGTAGTAACAGAATTGAAGGAATATTACCATACTGTGGACAGAAGTGCCAGAGGCACCTATCCAGAGTCAGTGCTATGTATTTTACATCCACAACAAATACCTTCTACCAAAAGTATAGAAGTGGCTCCTATGGGTGGAGATGACCATTATAATGGAAGTTAGGGATGGAAAGAAGACAAATAAATGAAATTAAATAAAATGTTTTTATAAACTGGTGCTGATAGTAAATTAAGAATTAAGAAATGGATAAGCTCAACTTTCTATATCTAACTACAAAAAAAAAAGGAGGAAGGAGAAGAGAGAGAGAAAGCTTCTCAGTGTGATCACTAGAGATTGAAGTGGTGGGTTGGAAAATATATGACCTAATATTCAGACCATTATGCAGGATAGACTATCAGGCTGTGGGTAGAGGTGACCTTCATTCACATTGTGTTAAGGTGTGTCTCTGTATATTTGGTTGTTAATTGCTGAACTGGCAGTGAGCTAAATGTTAACAGATTCTGGTGTTGTCTGCTATTGAGGAATCTTCTGTCTCGATGTTGTATTAAAAATTACTCTCCAATTATCTCTGATTGATTAATAAAGAAGTTGAAGAGCCAATGACTGGGTAGAGGATACAGGAGGTAGGATTTCTATTCCCAGTCTGGAGGTCTCAGGTAGAGAGAGAGGGAGAGGAGAAGAGAAAGGTTGCTGGTCCACGAGCAGCTATGGGCCATGAGGACAGAGACGGAGCAGGAGTAGTCAGAGTAAGATTAGATGGCAAGTAGCATGAGGCACATGGCTGGGAAGTAGCCAGGTTGGTGTGGACAGGTTGGAAAAATCAAAATCTGCCCAGCTATAGTGCTCTAAAGCTTATTAATAAACTTAATAGTTCTCTGTCTCATTTGGGAACTAGAACATGCATAGAAAACACCTTTAATTCCAATCACCACGGGCAGCTCTAGAAATGTAAAAGTATTCTTCATTCACCTGTAGTAATTGTCATCTGCTAACCTAGGCCTGACTAGTCCTGGAAGCTTCTAGCCTCCATACAATCTAATCTAGGCCTAGAATGCTTTCACCCTTTGAGACGTACTGCTGAATAATTTTACCCTTTCTAGATATATCTGGAACTATGGCTGGGTGGTTCAACTCAGCTGTTATGGCTCAAACTCCTCTCCAAGCTGACTGATTCAAATTGGCTTCTCTCAGCTTCTGACTGAATTACTCTGCTTGGCCTCAAACTAATTCTAGAAATCTGTTCTAGTATTCTGGCTCCTTCTCATTCTCTGGCTCATTCTGCCTTCCCTTGTGTCTAGCTTGTTCTCTTTTTAACCTGTTTCTGTAAAACTGTCCTGGTAAAACTGCCTTCTCTTTAAAGCCATCCCTCTGTGCTACTCTCTCTTGTCACATCTCTTTCCTTTGTCTGTGCTGCTCTCCTAAGACCTCTCTCTTTGCTCTCTGTTCTCATGAGAGTTGGGCATATCCTATTTTGTAAAATCTTTCTCTGATTAGTCACTTTGTCTGCCTCTCAATTAGACATTACTTTCAAACATGGGTGCTACCTTCTACAAACTAACTTCACCTTCATTGGTTAGAATTAAAAGTGTGTACTAAAAGTATATCTGTATTCCAGCCAGATCATACTGTAATCCAGGGTATGTCTGCATTCCAGCTGGATTACATAGACCTATCCGGTCTTTGGATGTGTACCCTTGCTAAAGCAGCCATGTTGCTATATTAGAATTCCTCTACATCATCTTCTCCCTTTCTGTTTAAGCTAAAAATTGTTTTAACTATTACAACAGTAACTTAACAGTCAGTATGACTAGCTGTTGATGTGATGATCCTTATACCATAATTGCAGCCCTGATATCTGTCCTTCAGCAAATGTCCATGTCATCATCAAATTTTTCAGTCTACCAGTCTGATGAACTATCTATCCTTCTTCAGCTTGTTTGTCGAACTGTCTTCATGTGTGTGTGTGTGTGTGTGTGTGTTTGTGTGTGTGTGTGTGTGTTGGGGAGACGGGGGTCAGCTTTCTGTGTTGTCTATGTTGCTGTCTTTCTGTGTTTCTTCCTTCCTTGAGTTGTAGCTTTAATGTGGAAACTTCTCTCATCCAGATTGGTCCTTTCTCAATTTTGATGATCCCAGAGTCTTTCATCACATTGTAGAAATATAGGCAAACCTCTTCCCCATTATAGCACATACTCTGACTTCCATTCTGATGTTAAAACATCTTTAAAGCATACAGCCTCTTTAAAACATCTTTAAAGCAACAACCCATAGGATGGGTGAGTATTCAAGGCATCATTTAATAGCTGTTCACAGTGTGTTTTATTTGCATTTTGGCAGCATAGTCCTGTAATATGAATGAGAACACAATATCTAATTATTTTATGGGTAGCAGGGGGAGAACATTTACAGGGAACTGTGTCAAAGGTTGTATTCCAAATATGGTTAGGCATCTGTGCCTAGAGAAACTCTCCAGACCAGGTCAGGCAGAAAGTGAGAGGTCCTAGCTGAGGTTAGAGAGTCCTTCATTTTGTGCTGATCTTGGAGAGCAATCTGGAAATGGTGGAATGCAATCCTAAATAGCAGAGTCCTCGGACATATCCCCCTGTTTTATTCTACCAAGGAAAGGTGTAATCATGAGCTCTGAGAAACTTGTCATCTATATCAGAGGGACCCAGGGTCTAGTAATGGACCATGACCTGATTGGTGCTGATTCTAGCAATGGTGATACTATGTTGCTGGAGAAATTGTATGAGGCAAGGGGCAAGCATCAAAATAAAATGCAGCATACTTGGGGGGTTCATAAGGAGTAGGAGCCAGGGAAACAAGGTGTTATTGAACCAACTTAATTGTTCAGTGGGTTGAAATCTCAAGAGCAGCATGCAGAGGGGGAAGAAGGGAGGGATTGGGACGGGATGAGGGAGAGAACCACGGTGGGGGGATACAAAGTGAGTAAAGTGTAATTAATAAAGAAAAATAAAATAAAATAAAAAAGAAATCTCAAGAGCAGATTGTTACAAAGTTTTTAGAGGGTTTTAACATTAGTCTCAACAACTTTGATTCATTTACATAAAAGCAACATTCTTCTCCCAATACCAAGGAAGTCTCTCCTCTGCTTGTTCAGCAGTTATTAAGTCTAGTGTTCTTTTGTTTTGGAGCACAACCCCAGCAAGAGAGTTCATCTGTTGTTGGCGAGATTCTGGTCTATTAGTTGTAGAAGTCATCACCTTGTTGAGTTTGTCCCGAAAGTCTCCAGTCAGTATGTCTGGACCATAGGCTGCTGTCGCAGTCCCAGCATATCCAAGGGAGATGGCAGGTCCTGTTCTTAAAGGGAAGAAATATCTTATGGGAGAAATATCTCTAGTCCTTGTCTTGTTTGTAGTGGTAGTGCTGCCTCCTCTTCCTAGTAGAAATGGACCTGTGGAATAATCACAACAGGGGTGCAGAAACCTGAGTGGGGGGGATGGTTATGCAGGGGGTTACCTTACCTTATACTGGAAGAAGAAAGGGGTAATGCACAGGTTAAGCCAGTAACAGTTTGATTGGCAGTACATCCTTAGTCTGTTGGTATAGGTCTGGTGAATAAGGTGCTAGGCGCTGGCCAAGACAAGGCACCGAGCATGGAAAAAAACAAGGCCTGTGGGACAGACCAGGTTGGAGAAGGCAGGTGCCGCGCCAACCCTTTCACCCTTGGGATGACAGAGTGGGAGGGGGCAGGAGAGAGCCCGTAGCATGAGGATAAGATCCCTGCACGTGACCGACACCTTTCCATGCCACACCTGGTGCCTGCTGGGCTCCCTGCCAAAGCCAGGGTGATCCACAAGAAGGGATCATGTTCAGAGTCGCCATCATTGACTCCTTCCTCCCTCCCTTCCCCTAGGTGTCCTGGCCCATGGGAGGCAGACCTGCTGACCCTTGGCCTGCATGTTTCAGCTGCCCCACTGCTGGCAGGACCCATGATGCGAGTTGAAGCACCTCATTCTGGAATTCTCTCCTCTTGATTTAAGTCCTCTTGATTTAAGTAAGGCTCTATGGGAACAAACATGGAATTCTCTCTGGTGTGATGTTGAGTTCCTGATGATGGAGAAAAGGGAGGAAGTATCACTAGAGGTGATAGTTTCCTGGGGAAATCATGGCGGAGGATTGAGAAAATATTCCAACAGCCACAAGCCTTCCCACAGATTTAAGAAACTGGCAACTGTCCCGGAGACGTTTAAATAGTTGTTGTGTCACTAGGTTTGTTTGTTTGTTTGTTTGTTTGTTTTTAATATAAGAGGCTATAAGGTTATTGCTAACACTCAGCTGGGCTGTCAGAGTCCAAAAAGAGGAGAGGAGGCCCTTGGGCCAATATCTGAGAGCAGCCCTGACCAAAAAAGGCTCAGAAATCCACAAACCGTATCCGGTCACTTGGGAAGGTGCAAAGCGAAAGTACAGCAGAGGAAAAGAGACATCCAGGCCTCAGGTTGGGATGGTCAAGCAAGAATGCCGATACTCTGGAGGAGGTACTCACTAATCCTGCACATTCTGGATGTCCCTGGTTGGGCACCGGGACAGCCCTCTCTTCCACTGGGGAAGAGGTTGGTCACCAGCCTGAGAGGACAAAGCAAGCAGAAGCAGTGAGCAGGGTTCAGACAGCGTGAGTATGATGGAATAACTTTCCAGAAACAGCTTCAGTGAGATAGCTCAACTTTATTCAAGGGAAACGAAGAGAATACATAGGATGGGGGGTTATTTGAGGCATCATCTAATAGGTGCTGCATTTTAGCAGCACAGTCCTGTCATATGAACAGCAGCACAACACATAGTTATCCTATGGGCATCAGGGGATTGTTTGCAGGGAACTGTGTCAAAGGTTATACTCCAGATATGGTTAGGCATTTGTGCATAGAGATCCTCTCCAGACAAGGTCAGGCAGAGGGTGGAAGGCTCCTGTTGTGGGGAGGGAGTCCTCCATTTCATGCCGAGCTTGGAGAATGATCAGGACATGGTGGGACGCGACCTTAAACAGCAGGGTCCCTCCAACATAATTCTATTCTAATTATATTATTAATATGGCATTGACTCTACCAGTGACACATGCTCGAAGTTTCCAGTTGTTCATCATATGACCTAGTCAACATCTTTCAAAAATATCAGGGATTCTCAGCATGAGGTCAACATCAGGCATTGGCTTTGGTTGTCTGCAAAGTGCACCAAGAGTCACTAGGATTAAGCATCACACAACTCTCAACACAGGGAAAGAAAAGGAAATTGCATCTAGGAGGTGACATGTGCTTATAATCCCAGCACTGAGAGGCAGAGGCAGACACAGGAGGATTTTCGTGAGTTCAAATTCAGTTTGGGCTACATAATAAGACTGGATTTAGAAATGTATAAATCTGTCATATTTTTGCTACCCCAAATGAGTGCACATGTCTTTATAGACCTATCCACTCATTTACTCAAGAAATATTCATAGAATATAGTTTTCCTAACGAATGACTGCTGCAGGCTTCGGAAACTGAAGCTTGTTGGTATCACAGAATGAAAGACCAGGAACTGAATCTCAGGGAGCAGGCTCCCTTCTTTCCTCTTGTGCATCTTTTACTGAAGTTGCCAGCAGTATTTCTCCCCTCGGCTTTCTGAACACAGCTACGTTCATTTTGCTGCCTCTCTGCTTGGTAGTAGTGAAGGAATTCCTGGGACTCAGTTCACAGTTGTTCACATCCAGGGGCAATAAAAGGCAAAATCCATTTGTCTGATTCCTCCGGAGTTCCTCATTCAAAATGGGCCACTACAGTTTGAAAATAGAAGGGACAGAACATGTGTAGTCCCTCCGCATTAACTGGCTTGATTGATATTTATTATTCTTGAGAAGGGGTATTGTGTGTCAGGTCCCAAAGGAACTGAGGAAAGTTTTATTCAGTACTTGTGGTTCTTGCCAGCATTTCTCACCCTGCCCCCCTTCCCTAAACCTCTCCAGCCCAGGGGCTGGCTTCCTTTCTCCAGCTTCTCTTTTCTATATAAAGTCAGCCATTTGGCTATGGGCTCACTTGGTTCCTGGTTCCTCTTTTGGCATCATTGTCTCTTGTCCCCCAAGTGCTGTCTTTGCTGCCTCTCTCCTCTTCCTCTCTTGATCAGGCCTATGGTCTGATTCATTCTGCTGACCTAGTTCAGCCTGGACCCTTCCAGATGATTCTGGCTGTTTTCTTCTTCATATCTACAATAAAACCACCTTAACCATTAACTTGCATCAGTCATGTCCTCCCGTTCACTGTGAAGCCCAGGCGAACCTCAAACTCTTAATCCTCTAGAATAACTCCCACCACACTTGGCTCCTAGCCAGACCTTAATTAACTCTGTTTGTTTGTTTGTTTGTTTGTTTTATATGCTCCTGAAACCCTGGGACCTTTTGCACATGCTAAGCAAGTTGTCTACCGTTGAGCTACATGTACAGCCCTTAGTTTCACATTTAATCATTCAAGAGACGTAGTAGTCAACTCAGCAAACCCTTCAGAAAAATGCTTTCTGTCCATAATTCCTGTGTTGAGGGAGTGTGCGTCTCTGTGCATCATAAGCTGGGCACAGCCTTGCTTTGATGGCACTTAGAACCAAGGCAGAAATAGAACCACCCCCACAAAACATCTTTAAAATAGCACACATTTGATACACACATGCAACGGAATTAGAACAAGAAACATAGAGCATTCATACACAAAAATGGACAAACACGAAGATCATCATGTTCACTAAAATTTGTCAGATTTAGAAGGACGAGCCACATTTTTATATGCAAAATCTAGATTTAAATTTACATGTATAAATACATACAAACCTATGGAGGACTTGACAGTTTAGAATGCAGACTGTGAGATGGGAGGAAGAGGTCCAAAGTGGCAGGAAGAACAGGAGGCAAAGGAATATAGGAAGAAGAGAGGGTCCCAGCATGGGGGAAAGATGGGGCAGTATGAGCCGTGGTGGGGCACATCTGTAATCCCAGCGCTCTGGGAGGCAGAGGCAGGTGGATCTCTGTGAGTTCAAGGCCAGCCTGGCCTACAAAGTGAGTCAAGGCTAGCCAAGGCTACACCGAGAAACCCTGTCTTAAAAAACAAGAGAGAGATGGGGGAGGGAGGAGAAAGTATTGAGCACATGCAGTCACTTGTGCCTGAAATCCCAGCACTTAGGAGTCGGAGGCAGAAAGATTGCTTTGAGTTTAGGGCTAGCTTGGGCTAGACTGTAAATCTGTCTCAACAAAACAAAACAACAACAACAACAAAAAAAAAACAAAACAAAAAAACCCCGAAATATAATGGTTTATAGGTATAAAAAAGTTGGGATGCAGCCCATTTCTTTGTCTGCTAACCAAAAAAAGTAATAAAAATAAATATTTTTCAAATCACATTTATCAGAAGGCAGAGCTGGCAAAGTGATTACTGCATATGTTGAGTTGGGAAAAATCAGGAAAAACTGTGGCCAGAGGAATATCTAGCAGAAGGTCAACCTTAGAAAGAAGAGACGGGACTAGCCCAAGCTGAACGGAAAGAGAACGTGGGTGGGTCAAAGCCCCCATCGGGACCAAGACCTCACAGGTAGAGGACATGTTCGATTCTTCAGCATCCTTAGACCCTCATCCCGCTGCTCAGACCCCAGCTCCACCTGAGACAACCAGGCTCCACAGAGGATCCGGATAGTGTGTATCAACTGTTCAACCATTAATTTAACAGATGAAGACACTGAAAACAGGAGGGAATGATCTGTCCAAGGTCACAGAGCCACAGGACAGGAACCCTAAAGTCACTGCAGAGCACTCTTCCCTCTGTATGAAGTTACCCTTCCTGCTGTCCTGTTGGAGGTTGTCAATCATGATGTGGGGGCTGGTGTCTCTGATCACTCAGGAGACTGGGTTCTGGCTGTCTAATTTCCAAGATCGAGGAGTGAGAGGTAAGAGGTGGCATTGGAGCCTCTTGTGGAAGACAGGCATGTAGGTAATGATTCCTCCAAAACTGCAGGACAGAAGATCCCGGAGGGTCTCAGTGGCCCACTGGAAAGTGGCGTTTTAGATTGACATTTGCAGATGCGATGACAGCTGAGAGTTGCCCCATTATCTCCTCTGGTTTGTTTTGCCCGGTGTCCTAGTCTTCAAGGCAAGACATCCACATAGTCCTTGTCATTGTTCTCTGGGGAAAAGCAAAGGACAACCATGAGATTCCACACCCAGAGGTCCCAACAGCCAGCCCCACTCGAGAGAAATAACACCAGGCACAAAGCAATGCCGAAGACACATCAGAGAGACAGCTTCCAGAGCTACAGTGTCACTAAGGAGCTTTCCTGGTCTGATAGGAGTTCCTTGACAAGTGGAGCCTTAGTTTCTAGTACTCAGTGTCCGATTTCACCAGTGGAAATCCCATGCCTTCCTCAAAGTAGCACTGCCTGGAGCTTGTTCCAAGGAGGGGAGAGGAAGGGAAGAAAGAATTCAGACAATGGGAAGGCGTTTTTCCTAGGGTAGCTAAGTGCCTAGAGCACAGTCTGCCAGGTGTGTGGAAAACTGATGTGGTCAGACCCATGCCCAGTTCTTGGGAAAGGTCTCTCTAGGGATTTGGATTTCTCTCCCAGGGATTTGATTGCATTTTATTACTGTGTAGACAACACTATCGCCAGCACAACCACCTCCAGCGACTCATCTTGATTTGCGCAAGCACCTGGCCTTGACACATTTATGCTTTCTTTTCCTTAGTGTGTGTGTGTGTGTGTGTGTGTGTGTGTGTGTGTGTGTGTGTGTG